ATTTTATATAATATATTTGGTGATAAATAAATGTTTGGATAATTTTTCAAAAGAACAAACATTTAATAACAAGTCTTTTCAGACAGGTAAGAAAAAATAAATAATTTTTGGACATAAAATCTTAAGATTTCTTAACATTTATTAATGGTCTGTCCTGTGCAGAATGACAAAACACCTAATTATTTCTTTACTAAAACCTCTAACTTTGATCCAGTTAATTTTAGCAGCATGGATCTTTGCACAGGTAATGTTCACAAGTGGATTTATGATGTCCAAGAGTTTTTAACTTGCCTTATTATGGTTTTAAATGGGTTATATGCTGTCTAATAAAAACATTATTCAGGTGAGAGTGAAAAACATTTGGCTAAAATTATGTTCCATCCCCAATATCTCTAAAACCACAGCAGCTGTTTTAATACTTACACTTCTGATAAAATCTCCCAAATGTTCGCTTTGTTTTGATACCAAGATTATTTAAGTAGAGTTTGTAAATGCTGAGATACACTGAGTTACATTTCAGCATGGTTCTTTGAGCAAAAACTTCAGAATTCATATCACCCAGTACTTTAGAGTCTAGAGTTGTAGATGTTTTGGTCAAACCTTGAAGATAACGTTATGTGCAATGTCAGGCAATAATTCAAGAATCTTGAATTAGATTGGTACAAAAATGTCATTTCTTGCTTATAAATTATTAACAATCTGGTTTGATTAAATGGAGGACTGTTTGTCTTCTCAGGAAGTCTCTGGCCTACAGAAGTCGAGAGCTGCTCAATAAGTTAAAGCTGGCAGGAGTTGGAGAAAGGCCTGTCGTTTGGGTAGCTCACAGTATGGGAGGTACTTCATCAACAAAATCTCTTGGAACAAGTTTGCGCCCGTATGGGTCTATGAAGTTTTACCTAAAAACTGGTGAGGGTATCTGATATCTGACTCCGCTGGCAGGGCTGCTTGTGAAGAAAATGCTGCAGGATGCAGCCGATGACCCAGACATGCAGGAGTTTTTAAAGAACACTAAAGGAATAATGTTCTACAGCGTTCCTCATCATGGCACATTTATGGCGGAGTACTCTGTAAATGTCAGGTATCTCCTCTTTCCCTCTATAGAGGTCAGAGAGCTCTGTAAAGGTGAGTTGATTTGCTTTAAGGTTGAACATTTTAAATAGTTTAAAACRGTCTGTAAATCGACTCGTCTGTGTTTAAAGACTCGCCAGCTCTGCGGAACCTGAACGAGAGCTTCCTGAGTATCGCCAAAGAAAACGACATCAAGGTGCTGAGCTTCGCAGAGACCCGGCCGACAAATATCGGCCACATGCTCAAGATTTACGTGGTACCAACACAGTCAGCAGGTAGGTGATGACATCACAGGAGAAATAAGGCYTGCCGGTTTCTGAGCTTCACTTTAGACATAATAAAAAAACAGGTTGTGGAGTTTCTTTAATTTGAGTCTCGTTTTATTGCAGACCTCGGCATCGGGGAGRTTATCCACGTGGATGTGGATCACCTCAACATCTGCAAACCAGAGAAGAAGGACTCGTTTTTGTACCGACGCAGCCTCCAGTTCATCCAGGAAGCACTCCAGAGCTACATCAGCCAATGATAGAAACTTAGGAGCACAAAATAACACAAACTCTGAGAACCTCCCACCAACAAACCCAATACTAACCCCAGTCCACCAAACCCTCCTTGTTAAACATTAAGAACCACTCAAGTAAACTGTGAGCGATAATGTTCTATAGATTTACCTCTAACTGTGAAGAAGATATTCATGCATCCTGTTTGTTCATCTCCCTTGTGAGTCAAAAACTTTTACGAATTGTTTACATTCTTACAAGCCTAAATTATTTCCAATTAAGCTCAGATAAAGATYATTTGTTCTCAATTTTACCCCCTCTTCATTTCAGACTTTGCAGCTTTGCACAAAACAAATACATTTGCTAAAGTTGTACTTGTGTTTTTTTCCATAAGTCCTCCTCTGTAATTTGGATCAGAGTAGTGGGTTAAAATGTTATTTTTATATTGAAGAATTTTACTCAAATGTCTCCCTTTTTGGTGCCAAATTTATTTTTACAAGTCTTAAAAGTTGATTACCCATAATTAATGTAATTATGTTATTGTATTTATTTTATTTCACAGAACTGGAAAACTTTACAAGTGATTTCAGTGGGTTTAAATGTCTGACACAAACTAACACTGCTGACTGCTGTCAATAAATGCAATAAAGTATTAAAGTAGCAATTTCTTTGACATACCTATGCCCAGTTCATCTTGTTTTTTTTAGATTACTACAAAGCAGTATACAAAGAATTTATYCAAGTGTACAAATACAATGTATTTATTTCTGAATAAGTCATATTTATTTGACTTATCAATATATCACTAATAACAATTATTGTATAATTCATCAAGGCCACTTTTGCTTTCCTGTTTGCTTTGCGCGAACAAAAAATTGTCCCTCTGCGCGCTCCGTAGTTATTTCACAATGCTAAGTATTAGCATAAGAAGCTGCTTTGTCTGTCGCCGGGTCTGAATTATCTGAAGTTTCTTGCCCTAGTTTGTGTTCAGTTAAGCATTTATAGGTAAGTTGGTTTCGAAAATACGATTTGTTAAGCATGATAAGAAATGGTATTATCAGAATATATTCTTGGCTGTYTTGAGCTACCTTTAGCATTGGAAGCTAACCTGGTGTGCTCAAAGAAACCAGAAAGAATGTTTTATCTTAGAAGAGGGGAAAACCCCGTTTTTGTGCAGATTTTGTTACTGAAATTCGCTGTTTATATCGTAAAACCCACTCTTGTTTTTATTATTTATTTATCTGCAGCTTATGAAAAACAGCTTGATTCAGTAAACAACACTTCACCTGTCAACATGGTGAATGTACACAAAGGTGTCCTTGTTGAATGGTAAGTAGTTTAAACTGCCATAGATAAACTGCTGCTATCGCTGGATTGTTTCTTTATTCTTTTTTTTAAACCAGTTTTGCCTTTCTCCCTTGTCCTGATCTGCTCTTTAGTGATCCTGCCATGAAGCAGTTCCTCCTCCACCTGGATGAAACCATGGCTCTGGGAAAGAAGTTCATCATTAAGGATCTTGACGATACACACCTTTTCATCCTGGCAGAGGTGGTTCAGACTCTGCAGGAGAGAGTTGGAGAGTTAATGGACCAAAATTCATTCCCTATCACACAAAAATAACCTCTTTTTCTAAGGACTTTTTTTTTGTTTGTTTTGGACAGCTTTGGTATGTTTTGTTGTTAATTGCAGCTGCTAATTAAAAGTAATATWTTTATGCTTAAAACAAAACTAGGAATAAAAATGCTTTAACACCTGGTTGCTTCGTGTCTTGTTTCTTTTCTTATGATTAATACAGAAAAACTACGTTTTGGTGGGTTCTGATTGATGAACATTTGTCGTGGGAATCTTAAATTATTTAAAAGGTAAAATATCTAAAGATTTCTGTGATAAATTGGGTAAAGGATATATTAAAAAGGTTTTGCATATTTTGTATAATTCACRGATTGTACCATATTAGACGTATTGTGTGGAACTATGGGGTAATGCCTGTAAAACATAAAAATTCAATCTTTCTCTTACAGAACAGAAAATCTGTTAAGAGTTATCACTAGAGCTGGATTCAGAGATCATACAAACCCAATATTTATAATTGAATCTACTGAAGGTGAATGATTAAGTACAATATCTTAAAATKCATGTTGATGAGATAAAACAGTCAAAAATATTTTTGAACATAAAAAAATTGAAAATTACTATGATGAAGCGTTATAATATTGTCTAAAGTATTGTTTTGTTGTAATTTTGTGTGTTGAGTTGCTTTCACCGAATGCTGATGGGGAACTTTTGAGTTGGTGGTTGATTTTATTTTGCAAGTAGGGGCAGATACAAGTTTATATTTCTTTCTGCTCCTTTTCATTCGTGACTTCTTTTTTATTTAGTTTGTTTACGTGACATTTTGATTTTGTATGCATCGTTTTATTTTATCTTTTGTTTCTTTTTTTTATTATGTTTTATTGGATGACTTGTTTTTTATTGATTTTTTTATTATTGGAGTTTTTGGTTACTGGATGACTTGTTTTATATTCATATTTCAATTCATGATTAAAACAAACAAACAAAAACATTAGTACTCAAAATGCAATATTACCATCCATTTTTCTATAATTCTGTACTCTGTCTCCCTCTAGTGTTCAATTAAGACGTATTTATCGTTGTTTGGAATGCATTTAATTAATTCCGCGGGGGAAAAGTAAAAAAAACAACAACATAAAATCTCATTAGAACCACAATGGGATACATTCAGATTATTTAACAAAAGATATACAGTATGTGGAAAAAACCAAATCACTGACACGTGTATATTTTAGTTAATTAAGCTTAACTTCCGGTTTTCAAAATAAAGGTTTGTTGGAACCAAGGAGGTTCTATAGAACATCAAGTCTATGGGAACCATCGACTTGAATATAGATCACATAGAACAGCTGTTCTATATATATGTATAAACTCCTTGGTTGGAACGACTTCTGAGCCGTCTTTTTGTAGCGACCATTATTCTGAAAACGGATTACACAGGAAGTAACATTTTAAACACTTGACTTGTCGCCTGACGTTGCGACCATGTCCGACTACAGCCWAGCCAGAGACGAATCTGAACAGGAGGTCGGTATTGATCTTTGTAACTCGTATTTTCACGAGTGTTTTACACCCAGCAGTTAAACAGCAACATGACGTTTTACCATATTTGAGGCGTTTAAGATTTTAAAGGTCGCAACCGACGCCGAGCTCAAGCTAGCTTACAGCCCTCTTTGTTTTCTTCTCAACAGACAYTGTTCGACGTCGAAGAAGTCAGCAAAATCATAAAACGCGTAAGAAAAAGCATAAATACTTGTGTGGGTGTGTCTTTGTTGACGTTTCTGATAATGCAAATCGCATTTTTTTTTTCCTGACAAACTTCTGTTTAGCGAGGGACGGTTGCTAAGGACGCCACAGTGGTTGCTAGGCACAATTTTCTTACATTCCCCCCTCGCTTAAACGTGGTTTCTTTTTCGAGTGAAATGATGAATATTAGCCTAACATTGTTTGGTTCACGTTTGTGTGCAGTCKGTAGAAAAAACCTTAGGAGCGAACGCTTACCAGCACAACAAAGTTAATCAATGGACATCCAGTGTAATGGAGCAGTGCCTCGGTAAACTCGCCAAACTGGGAAAACCCTTCAAATACATCGGTATGGCTGCTGCTGACTCAGTATTTATGATGCTGTTTTTCTTTAATGTAAACATCTCTTTCTCCCACGCATAGTTACATGTATTATTACGCAGAAAAATGGAGCAGGACTGCAGACAGCCAGTACATGTTTCTGGGACATCTCAACTGATGGTATAATGAACTAAAACCATATTATTCGTTACAAAATAAGAGTTTTTTTGTGTGAGACTGGGCTAAGTGTCAAGTTTTGACAACGTTTTCAATTAGAAATGTGAACATATTGCTACTATTATGAACTAAAGGTGAATATTTCATCCAACAGGCAGCTGCTCAGTGAGCTGGGAGAACGAGACCATGTTCTGCAACGTCAATGTTTTTGGGTTGGCCATGTGAACACACAACATCCAGAGTCAGAAATATGTAGAATATTTTTCTTTATATATATATATTTACACATTAGAATGTCACTTTTTTTTAAGAAATTTAAGCTAGATTTAATGCTTTTTACTGCAACTGATTACATTACTAAGTCATATCTATTTTGCTTTATATACACATCACAACACAGCTACATGTACAGCCTTTAAGTCATAGAGAAGCAGCATTTCAAAAACAACCCAATTTAAACACCTTAAACATAAACTAGTCATACATCTACATATTTAAACACTCATTTAAAATGGGAAAAAAAGAACACAAGGCACCAATTTTGATTAAATCACATCTGTTTACAACAAAAATACATTTGCTTTGGCTGTTTTTTTTTTGTCCAGAAGCTCCATAAGACTTAAAAAAAACAAAGAAAATAAAGCAAGTAGGGAGTAAAGTTATCAAGAAACTGATCACTTTATATGTTCAACAAAGGCAAAGCTTTATTTGCCCAAAAATGAGTACTGTACATGCTGGGATAAGAAACCGTTAAGTAGCAGGTTTGTCGTCCCATTAGCACTGAGTGGAGGAAAAAGTCACGTAACTCATGAAAATGCATCTATCTACATCTTATAATACCATAATAAATCACTGTTTGGCAACATAAAMAAAAAGTGTGAAAAGTGCAAATTTACAGCTGCTTTTCAAAAAATAGTAAGACCAGTGGCACCTSCTTTAGCCGAGGCTCTTCCTGTGTTTTTCAACACTTCGGAGAATAAAGTGGACAAACGTGTTTTCATTCCTGCCATCACTACACAAACTGATCCTCCGACTCAGAGAGCAGAACGGAATGATATAAACATGAGCATTAAGAGACAACATTGCTTTAACATAATTAAAAATACAAACCTCTCAACTCTTAGTAACACTTTTCCTGGTCATTTTTAATCATCCTGTCAAGAAGTGCTGGTTATGAGAGGAAAAGTTGATAATATCAGTAAAAACTGTATTTTCAGTTGTTTTTTTTAAAGTGGTCACCTCACCTTTCAAAAGTACAGTACATTCAGCAGAGACGGTTCATCTTTTAAAAATATATCTATTTACACTTATGTTATTTTAAGTTATACTTGCACCTCTGTTTGTGCACAAGCTAATTTTGCAATGAATCACCGTAGTTTCAAACAAGAAGAGGCATTTCCCATTAGACCCATCAGTCGCTGTCGCTRTCATCCTGATATTTGGCCGTTACTTTGTTAGCGCGTCCATTTTGTAAAGGCATGTCCTCGTAATCACTCCTGTCCAAATGTGAAAACAGATCAGTTAGGTTTTGCTTACAGGGGACTAATAATAAAGACCAAGAACTAAGAAGGATAACTGAACAGGTGCGTTACCCGTAAATGACTTCGTCGTCTGAGTCGTTCAGCATGGAGAACGCRGGATTATCCTTCAGCTGAGAGTCTGAAAACATCAGATTAATGCACCCATTCAATATAAACTGCAGMCAAGAAGTGTTCTAGTTTACAGCCAGTGTTACCTACCATAAAGGGCATTTTTTGAGGGAGAGTACACAAACGCTAATGTGTACAAGTAYAAGTTGAGCAGACCAAAGAAGGATAAAAATTCAGCTGGTATTTTTTTCCATTAAGGAGGAACATTTGCTGTTTTGTTATCTGGGAATTTGAACCGACATGAACCAAAAATCAAACACTGCTGAAAGGATATAGTTTTGATAATGAGTAGACAATTCTGCCACAAAATTATCTTGAAGAGCCTTGGCACCAAACCTCAGGTACAGAATGACCATGCTAGAAAAA